CTCTTGCTCGGGCTCTGGGAGAAGCGTGCGGCCGCTGCTGGGCCCCGGCCCGCAGATCTCGCTGCTGGCCGAGGCTGGCCGAGGCTGCAGTGCCAGAGCTGCCGTGCGGCGTGGCACTGCCAGGGCCTCCCGGCCGGGCCGGGCTGGAGGCGCCCACACCTGAGGGAAAGCCCGCCATGGCAACGCCGGGGCCGCTCCTACCCCGGGGCCGCCGGCAGGAGCCACGGCTGGGACGTGCCGACAGACCGGCACTGCTTGCACGTCTTCAGTAGATGGAGACGGTGCCCGTGACTAGGCTGCAGGGCTCCAGTGTCAAAGGGCTTTGAAAAGTGTAAATTACTATATTTTTACTACATAGCTTTGTGTTTTGTGAAAAATGAGGTACACATTTTTTTTTTAAGTAGAATTTAAAAGTCTAATAGAAAGACAAGTAGGAGGTAAAGTAAAATATACAGATGTGGCCAGGTGTCTCTGCGTTCAGCTAAGAGAGCACACTTTGTTAACAAAGGATTGTCCCTTAAAAGCAGAACCCTACTATATAGTCATAAATTCTCATACAGAATTCAGACATTCTTCCTAACTTTGAGGTGTTCTTTTGTTTAGTTTTTAACTTCCCCTCTTCTCAAGAGATCAATCTCTTGGTGCCACTGGGTTTTACCCTCTCCTATAACGGGTGCAATAAATTCCTCTCTTGGAGGGTTTGGAGGACTGCTGTCTTCATCTGGACAAGGTAATCTTAAGAATGCAGGGGGGTCTCTGACTATCTTTTCAGTCTCTGGGTTATATAAACAAAAGTAGTTTGTGCTTAAATATCATGTTATAGCCTAACATCTATATGTATTGTACCACTATTTCTAAGTTTCATCAATAACAGAAATAAAAGAACCTATATTAACGCACAAAGTTTTCTAACCTTACACATATAACTTTTATTTTAATATTTGCGAAAAGCCAATAATAGAATATGCACTTAGAACATGTAGGAAATTAAGTCACTTTTTTTAAACTTTTTTAAAAAAATCTTCTTCTCCACTTCTTTTTCCAGTTATTTGATACAGTGAATTACGGCAGAATTAGCCCACGGCAGAATTACAAGACTGTAAGTACTATAAAACGAAATAATTTTTTACATTCTTCTGTCTTTCACAGACCATTCGAACTTATGTTGGCTTGATGTGACCAACAGAAGAGTTTAGCTCTGCTTTTAATTCAAACAAGGAGCAGAGCTGGAACCCGTTGAAAAGAATCTCTTCCTTTCCTAGCTTATGCAAACTGCCAGGGTTCTTTTTTTCCAGCTCTGGGCTGGAATTTAAAATTATCCCAGCAACAAACACTCCTGTAAAGTAACTGATATAAATTAGGGATTTGTTGTGTGTGCTCACTAACCCCTGAGCCCCTCCGAGCTGCAGCTCCCTGTTCTCTTTGCAGACAGAGGCTGGCTATGGATGACAATCGTGCGTCTGGCCTGCTGCACAGCACATCCACACAGGAGCTAAGGGATCATCCTTGCACAGCCCATCCTGGAAGAAGAGAGTTCACTGATGAATCCGACACCGTTTTATGGCATGGCAGCAGAATAAAGGCTAGAATTGGTCCTGTTCCAAGCCCTTTACATTTTGCTGTGTGTAATGGAGACAGGAACTACGAGTTTCCTATTCATGCACAATTTGCTGTCTGAGAGCACACATGTTGCCACCTGTTAGTTTATCTTCATTAAGTATGTTTGTTCACCTTCGTTGAGTTTAGAGTTGGTTTGTCCCAGTTACTCCCCCACTATCCCGATATAGTTTGTTCCCAGTTGCCTGTCATTGTAAACCTCTCCCCTCTTTCCAGATTGTTCCCCATCCATCACTTTGGTCCTACCCCCAAGCCCTATCAATCTATGTACACCACACCTTTTGTTCTGGTTCCTTCCCTGCTCATCATCCCTTACTCGATGCCCTATTGGTTGTATAGCTATCCTCCCTCCCCCAAGTCCCTACCATTGGATTTGTGTATTGTAACCCCTTCCCACAACACCTCCCCTGCTGCAATATTATTGGTTGTTGTATGAGCCGCCCACAGGCTTTAAAACCTGGAGCACAGAGGTGCCCAGGGTCTCGGCTCGGACTTTCTTCTCGAGGTCCCAGCCCTGTCCCTCATCGCCTTCTCCCTGCACCTGCTGGAATAAACTTGTTCCTGGGAAATTGGAGGACTCCGAGCACTCTCTCTCCCTTTACTGCACCTCGTGTCGCCCTGCATAATATAGAGCCCAAGCCCAAAGGAGCTCTAGAGGTTCCAGGTCGAGCCACACAGTGCTCGCCTGGTTCCCCACTCCTGCCGCTGATGCTTGGCACGAACTAGCCGGGGCGTGAAGGGCCAAGCGGGCAGCGACACACACAGTCCTCAAGGTCACAGGGGCTTGCAGATCTGTGTCTGAGATGACTTTAAAAACAAAACCAACCTTTATGTGCAATACCTGTGCTTCAGAACTTTACAATACAAATCACAAGCTGATTCCGACTGTTAAGTGGGAAAAAACTAAACCAAAGAACAAAACCAATACTCTGACCCCACAAAACAAACAAAGAAAAGAACCACTAAGAAAACCACTAAGAGAACCACTAAGAAAATAAACCAGAACCAAAAATAAATCAGAACCAAAAATAAACCAGAACCAAAAGCCCCACAAATCCAGAAAAAGATAAAAATCAGGTGAAGGAGGCAGAGATCCAAGAGCAACAAATGGGCAGAGGAACTACAAAAAGACAGGTAATAAGAAGGGGCAGATAAGAAGTGGCTATGGCACCAAGCTAGCCAGGTCATCTGAGATACTCTTCTCACACTTCTGAAAACCATCTGACACAAAAATAAACAGAAAATAAATGATGATGTCTGTGATAATGGGGCTCTGCATGTTTAGCTGTAATCTATCCACTGTGTGTAAGTTCTGTTTCCTTATTAAGTCACATCATCTGGCAAGGCTGTTTTTCTGTCCAAAGAAAAAACACTGCAGTGGAAAGGAGGCCAGCTTGGAAAATACTAAAAGCAAGAGCTAGAAATAATGTGTTGTTTGGTTGGTTTGCTGTTTGCTCATGGGTTTTTTGTCTGTCTTTGAAAGGAGCTCCTTGGATGTTAATGCAAGCAAGAAGTCCTTTGTAAAGGGCTGTCTTTGCAAAACACCTGCCACTTCTGTGATGCAAGACAGAAACAGCTTCCCTTGGGCTGCAGCTGGAAGGCTTGAAAATGTGTTCCAGAAACTCGTGATATGACAGAGTCTGATGAACACAATTTAATGTCATGAACTGCAAGATGTAAGTTACCTGATAAAATAATCCGAGTATTTCTATGGCAAGCAGCAGGAAAGGGCTGTGCATTGGAATGACAGGAAACAGCCCCAGAGTTATTAAGAAGCCTTATTTTGGGGGGCAAAACCAGTACTCTGACACCACAAAACAAACAAAGAAAAGAACCACTAAGAAAATAAACCAGAACCAACACCAAAAG